ACTTTGTTTTATAAATAATACACACAGCGTGTAGACACCTAAGTACATGTTACTGGAAAACCGTTTGTATTTTGCTTTCTTTTGTAAGTAGATACCTAATCATAGCCATACTTTAAACAAAATAAATTAATTTATAGAGAAAATAAAACATATTTATTCTACTTATAGAAAATCATATATCCATGAAATTAGCAGCTGGGATCGATACGAAAGCAATGGTGTACCGCAGTCAGGTTTATCTTTTGAGGGCGGAAAATAATCGAATGCCTTCTCTCGCCCCACCCAGGGAGAGGTAAGAGGGAATGACAGACTCTTACCGGCTAAAAAACACCCCGTTCCTTTCCTTACTATTGGCTGAGGCATCCTATTGCGCTTTTCCCGCAACCAAGGTCGATTCACAGTCAAGGAACCGGAGGATCTGGGCGATTTTTTATAAGTTAGAGCCTGCCACTAATTTAATTTTCTACACTTAAATAAGATTAATAATAATTTTAGGGTAATCACAAACTACAAGGTACTTATCATGAACAACATCATACCGCAAACATTGTGCACATCATCATATGTACATACCTATATAAAAATGGCTACGTTCGTAGGTACAACACCTGCTTCTAACAAGAACCTATAGCTAGACTTGATTTAAATAACTATATATTTATAGTTAGCGAATAACCTTAAACAACAAGAAAAAGGACTCTTCCCATTCAGAGAGAGAATACGCATTGATCCCCAAGACACGCACGCGATTTAAGACTTAAATTTCAGCCTGTTCTTAAGTCTCAATTTCAAAATTCCAGCCAATTCTACAGAGTATTATTACCAGATAACTTTCTTGGCTCATATTACAACCGAGAAGGACATGAAAAAAAAGCGACGTAAGTATAGGAATTACGGTTTCAAACGTGTTAGCAAATAAACCTACAAGCGCACAAGGTCGGCGGGCACTTACTTAAGCGGTTATAATGAAATATTCATAAAGGTACAGGCTACATTTATATTTATACAGAATACTGGTACTGACATGGATACAAGAAATTACTTATTACAATATCGGTACCACAAACATTACCTACTAATTTTATTTATCTAAGGATATGGCATGTTATAAGTATTTCGCAATATGGTAAGTATTCCTATTATATACCCGAGTTTATATGTCCATTACATAAATTATTATATCACCTTTGACTACACAGTTGACGCGGTAACCGGGCAGCCGACTGCCATACAACGCGTCGCGGGTTCTATGTACGCACGGAACAATTCTTTGTGTACTTTATCCACAAATTCTTGTTCCGGGTCTGGGTTTGATAAGTATGTGAAATTTTACTTTTATAAACGCAACCACGACGGCGAAAAAAAACATCCGGTAGCGAAGCAGCGTTTAAAAAGAATATACCTAGGTATCTAAAAAGCAGGCACACAAAAGACGATTCAAATAAGATTTTAATATAATATACTTATTGTTGCTAAAGGAACATCAGAAAGCATTTTGACGAGATGACGAGAACTAAGTGTGGGAGAGCCATGCTTCGGCACGAATGGGTTATATCCTCGACCGGAGTGATACCACGGCCTCACAGAATACCGGCGTGAAACAATCACAGCGTTGTGTTTCGCCGTGTAAGTGAGGTTACAGGAGGCCCAATCCTTCCCCTCCCCCAATCCCTCCTCAATCAAGGTCGGCAACGCACTCGTAACTCCTCCGCTGCGGGTGTCCATGGGCGGCGCTGATTGCTTACCATCAGGTAATCCGCGTAGGTACTCGTTTACCGACCTATTACATAAAAAAGAAACTAGTAAGTATATATGTAAAGTGTCGTATATTATTCCTGTGTTCTTAGAAATAAGATAATATTAAGTTTCTTCGACATATGTGTACCTAGTCGTACGTACGTATTATGTATAGGTATCTGAATTGTGACGCAGAAACATGTCAACTTGTGTGCGAAAGGCCAGACAATATTTGCCGACCCGATTACTTTTGGCGTGGGATCAATTTACAATAATTGCTAGAACTCTATCGTTATAATGTATAGTTCGGTACGTATTTCTGTCATGAGATTTTGATACTTTCACTTGGAGTCGACGTTAAGTAGTAGAAAGTACTTGTAAGTACCAAGAATCAAGTACTTTCGCTCTTTCGTAGATTATTATTATAAGTATTAAGTATAATCAATAATATCATCTTTTACGGGTCGGCAAACGAGTAGCCGGATTGTCTGATGCTAAGCAAGCTGCAACGCCCATGGCCATTCGCAAAAAAAGGAGTTAGGTACCTACTACAAGTGTGTTGCCCGACTCTAGTGGGTAAGTAGGGGATTAGAGAATAGAAGGTACCTATAGGATTGGACCTCTGGTTACGTTATTCTCTCTCTCTTTCTCTCTACTCACAGCGAAACACAACGTTGTGTGTTGCTTTCCGTCTGTAATATTTGAGGCCGTGATATCACTCCGGTCGAGATGGCCCATTCGATGGCCATTTCGAAGGCCATTCAGTCTCCTTGGGCAGCGCCGACTCTTCTTCCTGCCCCATAAAAATCACTATCAGCTACCTAATAGGTAATGACGTAAACACAGACCTACCATTTCAACCTAATACGAAAAGTGGGTGTTAACGTATAGTTAAAATATACAAATCTGTCTGTCTGTACCCTTTCACGGTACAAAGGCGTGATGGCATTTTAAACAGGAATTAGGTACTGGGATTTCGAAACTTGGCAAAATAACTTGCAACAGCCATTTTGTTTGAAACTCATCTAAATGCTAATGGAAGCGTCTGCGATGTTACCAACAAGTTTAATTGATTTTGTTCGTCTGTGTACTTCGATACACTTTAATAAACGATACCTAATATTACAAATGAAAATCGATTTGATTGTAATTTCCACTGTTATATTTCTTTATCTGTCGTGTCTTTTTTTCCTTTTGCTTATGTCGAAAAAAAGTTAAAATAAAACATGGCGAATTGGTTCCGCGTGTCAGTTTTTAAATTCATTTAGGTTTTTGTTTGCCGCCAAAAATTATTAGGTATAAGAGGCAAAGAGTTACATGGCGGCTAGAAAAGGTCTTAAACCTAATTATGCTTATAATTAAACAAATAAAAATTTCAAACAAAAGGTAGCACAATTTAAACAAAATTTAAAACAGAACTTTTGCAATAACTTATTTAAAATTTGCAGAAAACAGAAGACGCATGGCAACTAACCAAAACACAAAACGGAGTAGGTATACCTACTTAAGTAATTTTTATTTAATTAATTTTTGATATGTTTAACGGATTACTTACGTAACTGTTCGACGAGGGACTATGACTACTTAGTTTTAACTGACGCTAGGGACTAAAAACTAGTTGAGATCAACATATAACTTTCAGCATTAGTTTATAATGTACTAGCGATAGCGCTCCAGCTTCGCCTAGCTGCTACTTACCCGATGTTCCTGGTTTATATAAAAAAATTGGATTCATGTAAATGCATCATTTAAGTACATACTTACACTTATATTTTTCATATATTTTTATACAAACCATCATCATCACCTTCAACTCAACGTAAAATAAAAAAAATACTTAATCGAATTCGGTGCATACTTTGGAAGTAATGATGGCCGTGCCGTACATATCATACAGAAATTGCTATTGTTTCACGCTTCCACAATAAAGACTAATATTACAGAGTAACCGTTGTTATGCGAATGAGTTAAAACCAGGTTAGTTTAAACGTTCGCTAAATCGATTTGTAATTCTTATTCTTGACTTTTTGCGCTTCAAACAACGATAGTTTTTCACGCTCCGTGAACTCGCTCTGTATTTTTATTATTACTATTGCAACGTTTCATATGTGATCCTTGATGCCGGGGTTGCGAGGCAAGCGCAATGAGGCACCGCGGCCTCGGCCCAGAGCAACAGAAGAAACGGGGGCTTTTTTACTCAGTAAGAGTCCGACATTCCCTCCTAAAGAGGAGGAGAAGTCCCCCAAGATGATTTCCCCCCACAAAAAAGGTGTCAACTGTGTGTCCTTCGGGAATTAAAACTTGTGATAATAGCAAGATTAACCTTATGTTAACATCAACATAGAGAGGGGATGTCAGACTCTTGCTGATTAAAAAAAAACCCGTTCCTTCTACTTTAGGACCAGGCCGCAGTGTCTTATTGCGCTTGTCCCGCAACCCTGGCTGAAACAGAGCATACTTTAGATACAATGTAAGACCAATTTCGCCCATGACGTTGTTATTAATACTAGGCTCCACCTATGTAACAAAAGGTAGGCCTTTCGCCCTATACCAGAAACAATTTCAGTCTATAATTAGAACATTTATGTTACCAACACAAAGTCAAATGCGGGCGGAACATGAATTACGAAATTACGCAAATGTTAAACGAGTTCAAGTGAGTTTACGGTAACTTCGTTAGCGAGGAAATAGTTTTTTAATCGTAGGTAGGTACCTAGCAACAATTACAGTACCTAATATTTTCAACGAATCATTCAAAGTAACGTAAGAAATACGTGTACAAACGATATCGGGATCACTAACTAGCACTAAATTGTGTAATAGGTTGAATAGACGCTGTTTGGTTTCACCACGTCATTGTTATTTTGAAACTAATGTATACCACTGGTTTTACTCGAAATGTTTGACCGTTCAAGCTTGAAATGCTTGGCGTCTTCTTGATTACCTATAGATCTACTGATAGTAGACTTACACTAAAACTTAGACTATATGGTCGCAGGACTGCAGAAAGAGATTCTGAAAGGTAGTATCTATCTTTGCCTTTATTTTGTTACTATTCCTTTATTATAAAGAATAATAATTATTTCCTTCATAATATTAGTTATATCCACATGACTAAATAAATGTCAAGACAGATGTTCAAATTATAAATACACATGCATACTGTACCTTTGCAAAAATAACAACCAATTAGTTTATGCCGTTACAATAAAATGAAGTATAAAACAAGTCACACGCGAAACGAACAGCGCAAGAGAGAAAAAATGAGTAATCAAATAACAAATATATTTGCATCTATTTTATTTATTCTCTTCTCATTCGCGTTCTATTTGACTATATCGTTCACGCCACTCACAAAGGAAGAACAGATAGAACGCTACAACAAGATGACAGAAAACGTCGAACCATTTAAAAAGAACTTGACTGAATGCGCGCGCCAGGTCAAAGCTTCGATGGTTGACGTCGAAAACTTCCTAAAGAGGATCCCTCAAGCGTCCTTGCAGGGGAAATGTTTTGTCGCCTGCATTTTGAAACGTAACTCAATAATAATAAATAATAAAATAAGTAAAGAAAATTTATTAGAGGCCAACAGAGCGGTTTACGGTGAAGATAGTGAAGTGATGGCTCGGCTGAAGACTGCTGTGGGCGAGTGCGCGAAGGCTGTCGAAGAAATCTTCGAGATTTGCGAATACGCGTCGGTCTTCAATGATTGTATGCATATCAAAATGGAACACATCCTAGACCAGGTGACTATGGAACGACGTATGGAGGCTATTGGGAAGATGACTTCAAACCCTGACCAATGGGGAGAGGAAGAAGATGAACTCTTGAAGTTGGTGAAAGATGAATTATAGATCATTTTTTTATTGTGTTTTGATGTGGTTGAGAGAGGAAGGCTGCTTTTCAAAGATAAGTTTTCCAGAGCGTTCATCGTGTAATTCATTTAGTATTAAGGAGTAATGGCTGGGACATTTGAAAAGACACTTTAATGTAATCACAGACCTCGCCTAGTGTTTATATCATATAGGTTTCAAGATTCTTTAGTTTGATACTAAATAGTGTTTTTTTATTAGATATGGCGGCAAAAAAGCAGACAGATCGCCCGATGGTAAGCAATCGGTGCCGCCCATGGCCAATAAAGACATCGAGGAATAAGAGCGTTACCAGCCTTTTGGGGATTAGGGATTAAGGATTAAGGAACCTCACTTTAGCTCTTTGATTGAGCTGGCCCATTCATACCGAAACAAAAATCTCCTTCATTTGTGAATTTTCATTCCATATAAATAAATAAATAAAACAAAATATATTACGAAGAAATTTTAATTCTTTTCGAAATCACCTAATAATAACTTCGATATGATTCACTTAAAATTTACAGTAGAAGCGCACAATACAAAACAAATTGGACACACACTTGCTCCACTTTTGTCGATAATCACATGGTGGGTACATATCTTAGGGACTTACGAATGTTCAAAAAAGGTCAAATTCTATTATGAAGTTAGTTATAACATTATAACTGAATTGATAAAAGGTTAATAATGTATCTGAAACAAAGTTTTTTAGTAGAATAATAATCACATTTCTTCAAACATATCTTTAAAGAACTTCGTTCAAAATTAGCTGTAAATCACGTTGGTGGAACAGCCAACAACATTAAAAAAGGAGCATTCATTAACTTCGTTGTAAAAGGTTACTTAATATCTATACGTACAAATTACTAAATAAAATAAATAGGTTTAAAAAATCAGTTCACAACGAATTCCGTACACAGTCAACGATCACTATTTGTTGAGGAAGATTTTTTTTATTCAAGTGTAATTTATATTACGACATATATAAAAAAAATATAGCAAAATGTGTTGGTAAAGGCACAACTCAAAAACGCCTGGACTAATTTGGTCAACTCCTTTATTGTTGTATTTATTATTGTCAGGAGAAGATTCTTATCAAATAAAATATCACAAAAGTAGAGGGGCAATCGGGCTAAAGTGAATACGTTGTTTGCGAGACAGTTTAACCCGCGCGAAGCAAGGGCGAGCTGCTAGTTGCAAGATAAACTGAGTTCTCGAATTTCAACGATAAGACATAATTATTTGGAGAATTCTCACTTACGGAGTAATAATTGTTCAATCGATTTTGTACTTTGTTCCGAAATAATAAAGTTCAAAAACTTTTAACACAAAAAATCATTTAAAAACACATTAAAATTAGTTCAAATTGCGTGAAATTGATGGATTAAGTAGCTGATCTGGAAGTTATTTAGGGGAGGCCTACGATCAGCGACAAGGGATTATGGAATAATTTAGAAAAACTCATGCTACAATACAAATTACACTGAACAATTCGTTACAAAATCAACAATGTGATACCACAAATATCAAACAAACAGTTTGTCTAAACTAAAGGTTGCTAAATACCTGTTTCATGCACTCGTTTACACAAATAGATAGAAGACATCAAATGTACATTTTTTCCTAAATTATCTAATACTAGCACTAAACCCAGGGGGCAGTTGAGCTGTTATTTAATTTTACACCATTTTACAAGTAGACTGATGCTAAAAATCATTACAAAAAAAATATATTACGTATTAAAATTTCAAAAAAGTCAAAAAGCTACTGTCAACTGGAATACCTCTCAAACATTTCATATATTTTCGTCTACATTAATAAATTTCTAATAGATTAAGGGCTCGTTGACGCACAACACGGGCACGTCGTGCGGTTCGTCATAAATTTCTTATAATGCTCACACTAATATGTATGTGTTTAGGAAGTCAGCTAATGCAAAGCAACCCACGTGTGCGTAAACGAAGCCTTAAAACATTATATTGTAGGGTCAAAAATTCTCTAGCTACGTTCCAATAAAATTTGTAGTGATGACAATTATATAGCTTCAATCGATAACACCGAATATCGCAAAAATCTCGAACAAATATAAATTCAGTGAAAAATTCATATTAATACTAATTTAATACACATCAGACCACAAAAATGGGTGCAACAATGAACATTTTCAAATATTTACCTTACAAATTATCAAAAACAAGTGATCCATATGAAAATGGTTAAATACAATTAATTTATTACCAGATGATACCTATTAAAATTACATTCTAAAAACTAAGGTATCATACAGTCTTAATTTCATCAAAATTCTATTTAAAACCCAAAAAGTTATGTTTAAACATTTTACATATAAATTATAATAGTATTCACTATTATATATAAATAGCTTAACCAACCATTTCCTTAGCTAAAATATATAACTTCAGTATTTTGAAGCCGTGTACACTTACGACTTAATATCATACGTAAAACAAAGGATACAAGAAAACAATAATATGGCAGTGTCCTAAAACAATAATAATATAATATTGTTAAAAAATAGTAAGCGTATATTGAATTGTAAAAATTAATTGTAAAATTATATTTAATGTAAGATAGAAATAATTACTTTAGTCCACCATTATGTATAAGTAGATTAAGCTCAAAATATTAAAAATATCGTCTATGTTTTGCAACTATATTGGTAATTATCACTATATTAAAATAACATTTCGTTCAAAATTATTATGGCTAGTTGAAATATTTTTGTAAAACTAATCGATGCAGTTTATATGCACGCGAGTGTATTTAGAAAAAGCTGTTTTGTAATCTGAGACATTGGAAAGTAGAGCAAAGGATAACTACTGGTTACAATAATGAATACAAAAAATACATTTGTTCGGCCTATTTTCTGTATAGGCATCCGCTCTCCGGACCATGCGATTCGCTTCACTAGAGGGCGACCGTCCGATAGACATAATATACTTTTATACAAACACTGTGTAGGTTACAAAATCGATTGGACTATGAACCAAAGAATAAGAATCGCTTGTCCGGAACATCAAATCATCACACATCTGTCGCGGTGGCCTGAAGGGAACGATGCCCGAAAGGAACGATGTCCTCGTATTCTGTTATGAAATCTATTATATATATATATATTCTTCGTGTTATGATATCAGTACCAATGTGACTTTTCCGAGTTATATGTTAATTCTAAGATTGTTCAATCATCAAAAAAAGAAAATTCCCAAGGAAACCTGCACTTATTTCAAATTACATGTTTGAAATTGCCAAACCGCATACAGCAAGTATTGTTATTAATGTTTATTCCTTTAGGTCTTTTCTCATCGATAGGATCATTATACATACCATTACTTTTTTATATATTTTTGTTTATTTACTTAGCAAGTCTCAAATTACCAAACACATTTGTTTTCCTAATATCAGCTATATTTGACGACTAAATTAAGATCAAAATATACACGCCACACCGTAGCCATTATCATCGACTTTATTTTAATACTACAAAAATACTTCATTTTTAATGGACACTTTTATTTGGCCCACATTGTTATATTAAAAAATAACATTCTCCAAATAAGTCAGGAAGAATATTTACAGAAAAAAATTAGCAGTAAGGGTTATTCAAAATGTATTTATAGAAAAAAATTTATAAAAACATTTTTTTGTTTGTAAAAAGGGAATCCGAATCCAAAATGTTGTATATTATATTATTATAACAGTTCATATAATGAGTATTGAGAGTTCGCATTTTTTATATATTTTTTATTTCTATAAAACAAACGTGTAAAATCAACGCTAAGCTTTGAGAAATGAATTTATTGTGACCTAAAAAATGTCAGTAGAGTACTTGTCAGTTGTGACTAACACAAAAAAAATATTATCACATTTCAAAAAAGTATTTTGTTATTCCAAATTCGAATATCATGGGTTTTGATTAATTTTATTTGACACTCCCAAAGTTTGAAGACATTTTGGCTGATTAATTCAGAAATAAGTTAATCAAATTAATTCGATACACAGTTTCTTCAACAATAGACCTTACTGCTAACGAAATAAAATCACTGATGGGTATAATGTGAAACTACGTTTTAGTTTTCTTATAAAAAAAGCTATGGACATTGGGCCGCACATTAAAATGTTCCCGTCACAATTATGTACTAGAATAGAGTCCCAAACCTTGAAGGTGTAGGCCTTTGTCATTCAGGCGGGCAGCTCTGAACGAATGACGCGGGGAAAAGGCCAGTACGACCGGTCCGCTGTAGCGTACCTTTATACCAGCCGTCCCCTCTCTTTTTCGACACAATCACTATATCATCCACTTTAAGTTCCAACTCGTACTCCGAGTTAGGCGGATACGGGACTATGCAGCGAAATCTGTGAAAGAAATTGTTGAATAGTAACTTCTATAATTTTTATGTTTATTAATAAAATCCTAATCTAGATATTGTATTTATCACTGTTCGGCTGATTATAATATTTTAATCTACTTTACTCTTCATTGTATATTTACAAAATTTCAATAAGTTAGTTACTATGGCGGTTAACTAGAAGTAAACAATCTTGATATGTCTTTTTATATTTAAAGAAGTCATATAGAAAACAAACCAAGATTTTTTAAATTTAGTTTTTTAGCTAACATCGATTTAGGTAAATACCCGATTGTAAATATTAATACAATAATACATACAACTTTTGATTAAAAGACATGCTATGATTATACATATATACAGTTCTCTTTGGATCGATAGACCAAAGAGAAATTTTATACATAATCATTACATTCTTACTTTGAATTTTAAGTAACAAAATTATCAATTAAATATCTAAGTTCGTCCTTTTCTCTCAATAGAAGACCAATATCCAACATACTTTTTTATTGATTGACGTTCAAAAGTAATATTGATATATGAATAAATCATTTATAATATTAAAAATTATTTATATTTTACCTTTCTTTATTCGGTTGTGAGTGGTGTCGGTCCCGTCTAGAAGCAGTCACGTCTAGTGATTGCGATTTCCTGTGCTGTGACTGCCACGGGTTTTCTGTGCCGGTTCTATAATTAAAAATAATTTATTATTAAATTATTTAAAATACACGTTAGAAAACAGTTAATACTACACTTTTCAAATCTCAAGGTATTGTAAGAATTACATTTGTTAGAATGTTTTGTGCCCAGGGTGAGGCGAGAGAGAGCATCAGAAGCTTACTGACTAAACACCACCCCATCCCTTCTCTTGCCTCTAGGTCGAAACTGGGGTACCTTATTGCGCTTGCCCCGCAACCCCTGCTTCATTAGAATGTTGATAGTAAGAAAGGACATTATTCGACGTGTGACAGTTTCGTTTTGAGAATATGACAACAGGCCATCTGTTTATAAGTAAGTTACTAGCGTTTATTATATTTTCAATGGCTGTATCCATATAATCAATTATTGTCGTCTATAAGGAATCACTAAAGGAACCAACCAACAGTTATAATTCGTAAAGCGTTAGAAGATTGCAACATCACAAACATTGAATAATTTCACAATCAGAGCATGCTCACACAATGTTATTCATGTGATTATGATAAACATAGAAGGATTCCCTTAACAATAACATTTCACAGTAGCGTGTTAAATCTGTGTTGTGGTTGCGGGTGTGAGGTGTGAGGGATGTGTGTGTGTGTGTGTGTGTATTTGCATACAACCTTTGCAGATGGTGGTGATGTTCGTGCAGGGGCGCCGGTGTGGGCCGCTCCTTGTGCGTGTTGTGGGTGCGGGTGTGAGGTGTGAGGGATGTGTGTGTGTGTGTATTTGCATACAACCTGTGCAGATGGTGGTGATGTTCGTGCAGGGGCGCCGGTGTGGGCCGCTCCTTGTGCGTGTTGTGGGTGCGGGTGTGAGGTGTGAGGGATGTGTGTGTGTATTTGCATACAACCTGTGCAGATGGTGGTGATGTTCGTGCAGGGGCGCCGGTGTGGGCCGCTCCTTGTGCGTGTTGTGGGTGCGGGTGTGAGGTGTGAGGGATGTGTGTGTGTATTTGCATACAACCTGTGCAGATGGTGGTGATGTTCGTGCAGGGGCGCCCGTGTGGGCCGCTCCTTGTGCGTGTTGTGGGTGCGGGTGTGAGGTGTGAGGGATGTGTGTGTGTATTTGCATACAACCTGTGCAGATGGTGGTGATGTTCGTGCAGGGGCGCCGGTGTGGGCCGCTCCTTGTGCGTGTTGTGGGTGCGGGTGTGAGGTGTGAGGGATGTGTGTGTGTATTTGCATACAACCTGTGCAGATGGTGGTGATGTTCGTGCAGGGGCGCCGGTGTGGGCCGCTCCTTGTGCGTGTTGTGGGTGCGGGTGTGAGGTGTGAGGGATGTGTGTGTGTATTTGCATACAACCTGTGCAGATGGTGGTGATGTTCGTGCAGGGGCGCCGGTGTGGGCCGCTCCTTGTGCGTGTTGTGGGTGCGGGTGTGAGGTGTGAGGGATGTATGTGTGTATTTGCATACAACCTGTGCAGATGGTGGTGATGTTCGTGCAGGGGCGCCGGTGTGGGCCGCTCCTTGTGCGTGTTGTGGGTGCGGGTGTGAGGTGTGAGGGATGTGTGTGTGTATTTGCATACAACCTGTGCAGATGGTGGTGATGTTCGTGCAGGGGCGCCGGTGTGGGCCGCTCCTTGTGCGTGTTGTGGGTGCGGGTGTGAGGTGTGAGGGATGTGTGTGTGTATTTGCATACAACCTGTGCAGATGGTGGTGATGTTCGTGCAGGGGCGCCGGTATGGGCCGCTCCTTGTGCGTGTTGTGGGTGCGGGTGTGAGGTGTGAGGGATGTGTGTGTGTATTTGCATACAACCTGTGCAGATGGTGGTGATGTTCGTGCAGGGGCGCCGGTGTGGGCCGCTCCTTGTGCGTGTTGTGGGTGCGGGTGTGAGGTGTGAGGGATGTGTGTGTGTATTTGCATACAACCTGTGCAGATGGTGGTGATGTTCGTGCAGGGGCGCCGGTGTGGGCCGCTCCTTGTGCGTGTTGTGGGTGCGGGTGTGAGGTGTGAGGGATGTGTGTGTGTATTTGCATACAACCTGTGCAGATGGTGGTGATTTTCGTGCAGGGGCGCCGGTGTGGGCCGCTCCTTGTGCGTGTTGTGGGTGCGGGTGTGAGGTGTGAGGGATGTGTGTGTGTATTTGCATACAACCTGTGCAGATGGTGGTGATGTTCGTGCAGGGGCGCCGGTGTGGGCCGCTCCTTGTGCGTGTTGTGGGTGCGGGTGTGAGGTGTGAGGGATGTGTGTGTGTATTTGCATACAACCTGTGCAGATGGTGGTGATGTTCGTGCAGGGGCGCCGGTGTGGGCCGCTCCTTGTGCGTGTTGTGGGTGCGGGTGTGAGGTGTGAGGGATGTGTGTGTGTATTTGCATACAACCTGTGCAGATGGTGGTGATGTTCGTGCAGGGGCGCCGGTGTGGGCCGCTCCTTGTGCGTGTTGTGGGTGCGGGTGTGAGGTGTGAGGGATGTGTGTGTGTATTTGCATACAACCTGTGCAGATGGTGGTGATGTTCGTGCAGGGGCGCCGGTGTGGGCCGCTCCTTGTGCGTGTTGTGGGTGCGGATGTGAGGTGTGAGGGATGTGTGTGTGTATTTGCATACAACCTGTGCAGATGGTGGTGATGTTCGTGCAGGGGCGCCGGTGTGGGCCGCTCCTTGTGCGTGTTGTGGGTGCGGGTGTGAGGTGTGAGGGATGTGTGTGTGTGTGTATTTGCATACAACCTGTGCAGATGGTGGTGATGTTCGTGCAGGGGCGCCGGTGTGGGCCGCTCCTTGTGCGTGTTGTGGGTGCGGGTGTGAGGTGTGAGGGATGTGTGTGTGTGTGTATTTGCATACAACCTGTGCAGATGGTGGTGATGTTCGTGCAGGGGCGCCGGTGTGGGCCGCTCCTTGTGCGTGTTGTGGGTGCGGGTGTGAGGTGTGAGGGATGTGTGTGTGTGTGTATTTGCATACAACCTGTGCAGATGGTGGTGATGTTCGTGCAGGGGCGCCGGTGTGGGCCGCTCCTTGTGCGTGTTGTGGGTGCGGGTGGCCGGCGGCAGCGCTCGCAGCAGTTGCGAGGGGCATGAGCCCGACCTGTACCCACACCGTTAGTACGATACGTGCCAATGTCAAATATATATCAAATGTAAAATTAAATGCAAATTCGATATCATTTAAAATATAATAACAATAAAATATTCGACATTGGTCCGTAGCAAGGGACACACGTGGAACACGAATCCAGTGACAATGAGTGCTGTTAGAACAAATTACATTCAAGCACACACAATTTGTTTGTATCGAATACTCAAACAAGAAATTAATTTTTAATCCAACGGCATTCTATAATACAAACTCTTTCCTGGGACAGAAAGATTTGTCCTTGTGTAAATATCGATTTCGTTTCTTCCAGTAATTTAGAATTTATACCGATTACAAGGAGATTATTTGTAAAGCTATGCAAGTGTTGAGTATTCGATTATATCACATAAGTAGGTCTTTCGATGCACACATACAAAGGAAATGTTCGACAGATTTCACATATTTTCCAGACGCCGCGTTTAAAGACGATTGACATTCACACAATACTTACTTTCGTAAAGATGCAATACTAATAGAAAAATGCTTTTATCAAGAAACCTAAACATAATTGTTGATTTATGGATTTCATGTTTATTTTATTTTTATACCCTTTCAAACTGAATTCGTAATTACTATACAAATGTAGGGTAAAACGTCGACGATGCACATGAGCCCCAGTAAAGCTTGAAATTGATCGAGCTATATGAGTTAACCGATTTTTTTATATACTAATCTAAACCTTTTTTTTTTTTCTAGTAATTAACTCGAAAATCTTCTGAAGTAATCTATCGAGTATTATAAGCAATAACGTACTTAAGTACTAGAGTCAAATAAATCTGTAGGTCACTGACCTCACATGTACAGGATGATGTTGTGAGTTGGTGTTTAGCATCAATGACGTGCCGGGACCGTCTTCGAACACTGGATTATCCATGCTGTATCCAGCGGGAGGCGGCGACTTGCATTTCTTCATAGCAGCCAAACGCTTCATCAAACTAACACCCGTTGATATTGAAGACTTCTCGGCTTTCGATTTTTCTTTCGGCTGTTTAGTATAATATTACAAATTTATAAGCTGACTGGTAAGTATTGACCGATATTTTAATACGTGTAGCATTGTACTTATGATAACAAAAAACTTTCTCAACTGATTTTTTTTGCTAAACTCGTTAGTTTTATTTTTATTGCTAAAACAAAATAACAAATTTCGGCAAATCTGCTGTTAGCGGCGAGAATCAGCGCGCCCGCGTTGGCGTTATTGAGGCAATCAATGCGTTGTGTTGCGTATGTGTTTCTATTACATAATATCCACGACTAGATTTTTTTAATAGCGTTTTTTTTGTCATAATTAACAAACGATGGATATTTAGAAACGGCTTAAAACACCACATTATTAACTGATGCGACCTGGGCAAGATTCAAGTTATATTGTTAAAGTTTTTTTATTACTTAGATACGCTTTCATTTTAATTTTGAACGCAATCGAAAAATCTTCTCCCGATACTTAGGAAACATTCGTTAAAGAATATTGAAAATATTTTTCCTGTACGCTTTTTTTTACTCGCTTGTAAACTTGTCATTTTCGACAGACAACTAATTGCAATATAATGGCAATATTTGAATCGAGGAAAAGTGGATCAATTTATTAGACCTACCTTTTCAGTTCTCGGCGTGCTTTGCTGTGATTGGGCGGGTGAACACCATGGATACGTCAATGGTTGGGCTGCAACATTTTATTTATATAGTTAATACACACGATTTTTTGACATAAGACCTCCTTTCCTTACTTCTTAAGACATTATTTTTACTTTACCAGTTGATCTTTCAATATCGTCGTATCGGAACAACTCTTTGTGTGATCCACAAATTGTTGTTTCGAGTTTGGGTTTCATTGTATGTGAAATTGGATGCTTGTAAACGCACCCACGACAAACGAGAGTATCCAAATGTGAGGCAATTATTATATTTAAAAAAAAACAATATAATGTAATTTATAATTATACCCATGAGTAGAGCGGGGTCTCTAGCGCGGGGCGGTGCGTCGGGGGCGGCGGGCTGGGTGGGGGCCGACCCACTGGGGGCACTCGCCGATACAGGGCCCACCGACCCCGTCGGGGGCGCGCTCTGCGACTGTAACACAACAATATTTTTTCAGTATATTCTCCTCCATCCATACACGTTAATATTAGCAATAATAAAGAGCTATAGATAAACCTGAAGCTTTTATATAGTGAACTCCAACCGGAGAGATCATGGCAAACTTTCTTTTGTACAAAATGTCTAAGTCCAGTGGGCTCTCAAGCTCTTGCTTGGAGTAAAGATGACGATGAATACAATGTTTTATTGTATTGTATTAGTTGTTTTCAAGTCTTCTAATTAAACATGAATCGCTAGATATGTTGTTAAACGGAAATCTCGTGAAAGACTGAACTGATTTCGATTATTTAATTGTTTGTTATTATAAGTCGGGAAAAGGTTCATACGCAAAATTATTTTAGAAAAGGTGATAATTGGTTTCTTCGATGTTTCAATACAAAAACTCTACTTTTATTCATTGATCGATCGAAACACTAAGTTTTAGATATTTTGTAGCGAATTATTAAAAAATAAGTAAGCTATTTGACGCAAAAATACTATGACGTCATAACTCAGTTTTTCATACAAATTTTATAGAAAAGTATCGAGGGGGAGTCGACTAGACCCAGACCCAAGCGTAAGGCTCAAAGAGCCAAAAGACCACCACAGACGGAGCCCTATAAGTCCAATGATCGGCCGAGGTTGCGGGTCAAACGCAATAAGGTACCGAGGCCTCGGCCTAGAACAGGAGATGGAACGGGGGTCTTTTAAATACAATAGTTTGAACACTCCCATCTCGCCTCACCATGGGCGATATACCCCCCTCAAATACAAATACTCAGCTGTACCTTATCATGTTTAGGACGCAGGTTGGAGGCGGGCGCGACGTAGTTCCCCGGGAAGACACCGCAGCGCTGCGATCGTTCTGAGCAACCTTTGTACCAGCCGTCGCGGCATCGCTCCGTCACCGTGTAGATACCTGACGTGGTACAAAAACATTTATGAATGTTTATAGTATTTTAATAAGTGTAGAAATCTGTCAGAAATAAAATAACATCATTCTAATGCACGCAACAGCAAAAACTTTTATACTATGAGAAAAACTACTTGAATTTCAAATTTTATTGTTGTTATCTGATGCTCGAGCAGGCCTAACAAATGACGACAAACACTACATATTTCCTACATAATCCTGCTTTTATATCGGCAACTCAACTCAAGTTGACAATTACTTCTGAGTAGCGCTAGCTTAGGGAACCCAGTGATGTTACCCCTTCTGACTATATGAGCGAGAGCCTGATCACTTGTGCCACGACCTAGCCAGACCTTATTTAATTAAACACCTGAATAAGAACTATCTCTTGTTTCACTCATGTCTTTTTTGTTAATGGTCCGCACAGACTCTCTGTGCGACTGTCGCCGTTACAAGGTATAAGATTAACTCTCTATGTAATTAAGCAAATTGTATTTTTTTTTTATGAATGTTGTGTACAGTTATAACTGGACTGCATATTTATAATTTGTGTGTAGTGTAGTATTCAACTTTGTAATTTTTGGTTTACTGTCTGTTACTGTACCTATTGAATAAAAATCAAAATTATTATTACCTCCTTTCTTAAGCTCGAGTTCGTCGGGTTTCTGTGGTTTGTACGGGTATATGGCGACGTAGGCGGCGGGTAGCGGACGCTCGTTACTGCGCGACCGACGCCGGCGTCGCTCCAAACGTTCCGCCCGACTCTCGGGTCCGGCGTCTAGCAGGCTCGTCGCTAGGATCTCCGCCGAGTGTCTGAAAATATATTGGCAATTTTAGATTTTATAACTGTATAGTTCAAAATGTATTATACTGATGACAGTAAGCCCTATTTACACGATGAAGGCTTCTTGCCTGTTGCATACAATTAATTAATGAAATTATATGATAATTACAGTATCTAGTAAATGAGACTTTAAATTGATTTAATTCAATAATTATCCTGGTTGTTCAAGAAAATAGTATCGTGTAACTCAGTCTAAGAGTAACGGTAGCAAGATAAATACCGTTTTCATAAAATCACAAACATAATGATAATACTTTGATTATCAAAGGGTGTTATGTAATGATAGTTATGCTTTGAAGTATTCTTTTTTGTTAGAAACTAAACATACTATGTTTGTACTTGATTTAAATTACTGTAGTTTTTTTGACGACTAAGTACGCAGAGAGGGAACACTCACCTGTTTTGAGTATTATGATTCCCTTGTAAGTGTGTAGAAGGCGTCAAGCTATGTCTTTTCTCTCTTTCTCTATGGTGATGATCTCTATGCGCTCTGCTCACCATATAATTCCCATCTTTCCCGTGAGAGGGCGACAGCGCCGCTTGCAGTCCCAATCCAAAATTCAATAAAGAATCAGGTCCACTAGACCGCAATGCGTTTTTACTAGACGAAGGCACGTCAAGTCTAGAAGAGTCATTATTGATCGCACCTTCGTGATTATCTTCTTGCGTTTGAGAGGCATTACTCGTAGCAGACGCATTCAATTTTGGACTCTCTGACGGTGGCAAGCTGACATTCAAGGACGTGTTTGTGGCTGTAGAACTTTCATTCAAACTCAGCACTCCCATAGATGTATTAAGGGATTCGTCATTGTTAGTTTCCTCCTCTGGCTGGTTCTGGTTTTGATTTTGAATTTGAGCCGTATTGCCAGCGATGACGGTCGCATTTCGTTCGGTGTTATTGTCGGGAGAACTAGGAAGGCTCGGTTCAGCGCTCTCACAAGTACTTGTATCCGAGCTTGTGTTCGGAGTGGTCGTAGAACTTACTCCGAACGATGGCGTGTTCATACTCGAACTTGAATCGGAACTAACATTGCTAGTGTTGAAATTGGCTACAGATACAGGAAAATGTTCGTGCGTCCTTACATTCTGGTAGGTATTATCAACTTTATGCACCGGCGTCGAATTATAGCTATCGTATTTTACTGTTCGTAGTCTGTCGTAGTTTTCGCCGATTCGGGAGACACTCTGTATGCCCATAGTTCCTTGATGGGACTTGTTATGCATGTTGGTAAACTGTATGAGATCTAGAGAGTGTTTGGTTTGGGTGGGTTCCATGATGTTTCTGGGTAGAGCGGTGGTGGTAACGAGTCCGCCGTGTGAGATGGCTGTGACGTGTTGGTTGAGTGGCTGCGGCAGTAAGATTTGCGAATGCTGCGGCATTAGAGTCTGCGCGGCCGCGTAATTGGGCTGCGACTGGCTCATGGCGGGCAGGTTCTGGTACGTGCCCTGCACCGCGCCCGGCGTCGACAGCGACATCTGTTGGTAACGGTGCGAATGCTGCTGGAATCACAAATAGTGACGTTAGATGGCGCTCATTTCAATTTACACTTTAACTCATACAATTCGTAATTTACGCTATTTTTTCAGGTAAGGATGTGTTTTCAATTACTAAAATTAATTATAATCTATACATTTACATATAGGTGTTAAAAAGGTGTTTTTACGAGAAATAATTACCTGTTGTGCATGGTGTCTGTGTTCAGAGTGCGAAGCTCGCGTCTGTTCCGGTATGGGTGGCACGTGACGGTTTAAGGGGACACTAGAAAAATAAACGACTATTAGCATTAAATGCTAAACAAATAATTATCTTTACTTTGTTGAATATTGTGAACCTTCTTTGGCCAAGAATTTGACTTTGGCCTTTTTATGAAGTTGTAACAAAAACCTAGCTTCTAATAGAACAACATAGAACAATCAACATCAACAAAAAAAAAGGGGGTTGGGGAGCAAAATCTATTTTATAGCTTCGATTAAGAATTTTTTGAAGAGAGCTTTTAATTATACTGTTCCAAAAATATATTAACTTATCAACTTTTTTATAAATGATCGAACCTGTTCATAAGCTGTCTGGCTGCCTGGTTGAGTTCTACAAAGGCGATAGGAAAGATGCCAACACGTTGATCCAGCCTCCCTTCCGCCCAGTTATCATCCACACGACGGTGCACCGTTATAATCGCCCCTACAACATTCAAACAAATACTATCTTAAAAAGAAAACCACGTATGAACAAAATTCTACTCTATTAAATAATAATAACAGTTGATTTTTGAATGGCATAAGCTGGCACTTTTTGTTTTCTCTTTTTCAAACTTAGTGTCAAACAAAAATCCGCTGTATTTTCAAACATTTTAGTTAACTTTTCACTGGCAAATGCTTTTAATATTAAATTTACCTTTATCGAAAGCCAGGCAGCCTTCCTCGTCTGGTGCAGACATTCGGAAGTCGTACAACGCCTTGCATAGCGCAGTGGCTACAGGTAGAGGTACCACGACCTGAAAAATAATAATAGTTTTTCTTTATTTATTTCTTCAAAATAAACCTTGCCCACACTAAGATTTTCTCCTGTGTCGTGGGTGCGTTTACAAACATACAATTTCACATACCTAGTACCTACACATCACACCAAGACACGGAGCAACAATTTGTGAATCACTAAAAATTGTTCCATGTGGCAATCGAACCCGCGACACGTTGTTCGGCAGCCGGTAGCCATTTAGCTATGCTAATGTACCTATTGAACAGTGAAAATTGTTTCACTGTTAAAGTTCTGATCCTAAGTGTATAAACTATATTTTATTTGTGTACGGAAAGTAGTACCTAGGCACGCGGCCATTAAACTGCACAAAACAACTTGTTATTTTTATAATTTGTTAAATAAAGTAAGAATAAAAATATAACTCCACATAATAATGCATGGACACCATATGTCAAGCACTTTAAGTTTCTTTCATAAAAGCATGTGGCTTACATATGATTCCTTGCAATTTTTATAATAATTTTTAACCCATAATCACTTATGCACATTGAGCAAAACAAGATGCCTGGTAATTCAAATTGTACTTAATTGAAAACCATATAAAACACGAAATCCTATATATACAACATACACTTAACTTTTTTATTATTTTTAAAACTAAAACTAGTTAACGAGGGATTAGCCGAAGCACCATCACAACAAGGCTGTCTCTTGTGTCAGCGGGAGGAAAATCATCACATGTGTCCTCCCGCCCTATTTTGGACGGAGTGTCAGACCCTTACTGACTAAAACACATTTGGGGTCTGAGTGTGACATTACATATGCAAACCAGAGAGAAGACTCTAGTATAAAGTAACTTTTTTTTAACAAAAATAAACAAACCTGAACATATGCCGCGGGAAACATGCCAGTTCTTCCAGAACATTCTCCTTGATACCAGAACTGGTCCAATTTCTTCTGAAGGAGTATGGTTTCCCCTTTCTTGAACGAGAGATCCCTGTAAACAATATAAATATTATTATAATAATGAAAAGACAAACATTATAATTATTATTCTTATTAATTAGTATTAAGTGGAAATACTAAAAATAGATAAACCATTTATTGTTGACCAATCAATAACAGTAACATATTATTTTTATAACAATAAACTTAGTAAACATTGTTATGATTATGAAGACTTGAGTCACCTAAACAATTTTAACAGGGTCAAAGACCTAGACAGAACCTACAAAACATACAGGGCCAGTGTGTTATGGATATGGTATTTTGTATTTAGACTCCGCCCTTATCCGAAACTTGTAAAATGGATACCGGTACGATTATGAGGAAGTAAATAATTGTTTTATTTTGATTGCGATCTTTATAGTAGGAATGATGTAAAACTACTTATACAGTTAAACCTGGTATCAAACGAACCACCCTCAGTACTTACATCCTACTAAACTAATATTCCAAATGTGAAAGTTTGTGAGAATATAGGTACGGATGTTTGTTTATTATTCTATCACGCAAAAACGGCTGGAACGATTTAGTTAAAATTTGGTGCATAGACAGGTGATTGATTGGTATCAACATACCACGCACGCGAAACCCGCTGCCAGAAGCTAGTCTTTGCATAATTCTCTAAGTTTCATCACATTGGACATACAAATACTCCGGTTTATATATATAAAGATACTCTGCACTGCACATGTTTAGAATGTCGATGTAGCACATTGCTAAGCGCACAGAACGGATAGCCCATGACTCATACAAACATAATGCATCAAAAACGACTGCTAATTGAATATGAGTACTTCACAGCCGCCGATCACATCAACTTTAGCGTGTATTATTATAACAGTGGCAGTTTTTCTCATTGACTCATCCACTTCTGGTCACTGACAAATGAGTGACTACTTAGTATTCTAGTAACTACTTCACAGTTATTTATCTGAGAGCAACTCATTGTTTAGTTTGAATGTCGTTCAATAGATCATTGACCATGCAAATGTCACTGTAACTCAGTTCTAATAAGGTAATTATACGGTTGTCTGTTATTACGACTTAGATATTACTTTACGACATCGTGACAGGTGAAAATAGTTTTCTCGAGAGGTATTATAAACCTGTTATGTATGGAAAATGACGCTATCCTTTGGTATTAGGAGGAATCGGATAAAATGACATAATAGTCTTTACAGAAGTGCAATTGCCAGATGAATTAAAATTAAAATCGAGAAGTTTTAAAATGACCTCTTTTGTTGTTACCACCTAAACAACGGTCACCCGTTAAACGTTGAGCACCATACTTTCATTTATTTGGCTTTACGATATAATTAATCTATACTCATACATATTATAAAGAGGTAAAATTTGTAAGTTTGTACATATGTTTGTATGTTTGTATGTCGGGGGTAAACTTTGGAACCGGTGGTCGGATTGCCAAAACTCTTTCATTGATAGATAGCTACAAGTTTCCTGAGTGCTATAGGCTATAAAACATCAAGCTACGATTAAATGGAGCTGAGCTGAAACCGTGCGAGAGTAGCTAGTGGTAAATAAATATGTATGATCTTAAATTCTACAAAATAATAGAGATTTAGCTTCACAAACACACATGCTGTTTTCTGTACTTAAAATTTAAACCACTCTGTACAAGCATACAAAATACTGATAAATTAGCATATTCGCTTTTATCACAGAGGCATAAAGACGTCATTCGTGAACTCTGCACACCGGTAAGCGTCACAAGTAATTCTTGAAGGAGACCTTAAGTAAACAAATAAATAAATTGATAAATATTTCCTAAGTAAACACTTATGACTCATCAACAAAATAATATTCTTAATGGATTTATCAACTTCAATTAAAATATTGATTTTGTTCATTTCACGTCAAAACATATTAGGAGATTATTTTATTCAATCATCATCAGCTTATAGTGCTCACTGCTGAACAAAGGCCTCTTCTCACACAGAGAAGGTTTGAGCATTGCTCAATGCGGGCTGGCGATTTCAAACTTCTAAAGAAATTACAAGTCCAGGTTTCTTTACGACTTACACCACCATAAACCTATACCAATTCTGAGTACAAAGTTAGTATGAAAAGCGAAAATCTAGATCATACTTTGAAGGAATGGTTTAAGAAGTAATAGAATATCAATAACTTCGAAAATCATATAAATTAAACCTGTTCTCTCTAATTTTATAACTGAAAGCACCTGAGGCAACAATTTCATTCGTTGTATGAGCTGGTAACACCCGCTTTCAAACAACTATGTTATGAGACCCATCATACATACATCATACAACATCGTGCCTACTGCTGCGCAAAGGCCTCTTCTCTCACGGAGAAGGGTTGAGCATTAATCACCACACTTGCTCAATGCGGATTAGCGATTTCAAACTTATGAGTAGAAATTATAAATTCAGGTTACCTCATGATGTTTCGCTTCACCGTAGTTCTGTGGTGTCTAAATTAACTAAGAAAGTACATATAGTATGACTCGGAAAAAGTCACACTGGTACTTTCGCGGGTTTTGAACTACCTTTTTATACATGATAGGTTGGCGCCGTAACCTTCGGGCCATCACGACATTTTTGAGACCCATCGAGACCCATGAAAAAGTGCGGATTAGTCTATAGTTTTTATACTTTTAAGTTTATTCGTGTAATAGTTATGATGTAAACTCATTATGTAGAACAGATAGGAACATACAATAAAACTATCGATAAGTTAATGTTCCAATTATTCATACTTACTAAGTTAAAAAAAACACAGCAATTAATATGGAAAACGCTAGTAATTAGATTAGCATAATTGTATGTATAATTTCTCACGCAAATTGTCAAGCTTATTAAGACTAAGTGATTGCAAATTTCGTATGACTCATTATAAATTTTATGTACACAACAAGAATTCCCCAATTCAATTTTATAGCTTTGCATTTAAGTCGAAAATCGATTAAATAATATCGTCAATCTCAGGTGGCGAGGTAGAGTTACTATGTTTTGGAACAATGAGGTCAACTTACCCTGGTTCCTTGGATAAGTAGTCGTATATTGCCCTTGCGTGCGGCGGCAACTGCTTACCGCCGCCCTGAACACCTTGTGACCCCTATAACAATAAAGTACAAACATTATCCAAATTATCAACAAAATCAAACTTTTTTATGGAAATCACGCACAAGTTTCTTCTGGTGGAAGGCAGTTGGCGATTTGAGGATTGAGATATTTAGGAATTGTAGATAAGGGCAACCTGGACAACTTTTGAATTTAAAGACACATTTTTTTAGGTCAAAGCTTGGAAAATGATCTCTAATCGTCTTTTCTTTTCTTTTGATTCCTATTTCTGAATCGTTATGTTTTATGGAATAGATTATGACTTGATTATCTGCTACTTCTGCTACGTCATTATTCAGTATACAGCTGGAGGCAAACTGGAAATCACTTACAGGCAAAAAAGACATCGCAGAAAACACTTTAAAAATCGACTACTATTTAATGAAACTGATATGTATTATTATTATTTGGCGAAAAAACTGTAGAAACAATGAGACACTACAGAAACATTTTATATGTAATCTTACCTGGGAATGACCGCTCCTTGATGTCCTTTGTCCAGTCGCCGACTTCCTCGGAGCGGAGTTCTTCATACCTTCGAGGATCCTCATGAGGAGCACGTTCGGAGGCAACTCCTCCACCTTCGCTTCGACTAACACCCTGCATTCTGGACATCGCAACTCCTTGTGGGATTCTATAATCACCTAAAATTAAAGAAAACATTTTTATTAATATTTAAAATGCCTCATTTAAAATAGTCATAGGAACGATCGCCATATCCCTTACTTATTGTGTAACAGTCTTTTTTGGAGATAAACTCAGAAACTATTGAACAAATTTCGATGCGGTTTTCATAAAGCTGTATATAAACTGACACAACAAAATGAAAGTATTAAATTCATTTAAATTGGCACAGTACAGCAGACGAAACTGCGAGTGAAAAACAAGTGTCGAATTAAAAAACAACTGAGTTCTCAGGATTTTTCCTATCCAAAACCGTCTATCACAACACGGTATGGTATCGTTTCAATTTTCTAAGTTACAGGAACCAGTGGATACTAAAAACAAAACAAAGACTAAAATATTTTAAGTACTTAATTTTTACTTCAGTCTGAAGACTGTACAGTAACAACTGGTTTACTTTCTTAGTAACCAAATAAAATACATAATTTGGTCCCACAACCGGATTTCGAATCAACATAAATGAAGGGCATTTATCATCCTACGCTAGTCACAGCAATAAATTGAGGGAAATGAATTGTCCTAGTAATGTCCGTAGGCGATGGACCTATTCTTGTTTATGATAGTGAACTTTGAGCTAGTATGATAAAATCTATTTCAGATCAAATTGTAGGTGTAACGAATTGACCATTGATGCTTTGACTAAGTTCTAACTATCGCGGTCTCAAACAGACAGACATACTCTTTGGGTCTCAATTAATACTCATTAAACATAAACGTCAGAATAATAATTATTAAAACGTTACGCTCTTTTCTGAACATGAACTTTTCTTTAACACTAAACACATCATATAATTTCGAGCCATCATATTTTAAGCAAAAGCCTTCAGTCATATGGCTTGAAATCGTTGCAAATGAACAGATATCGATCTACTGGGAAGTAGATCGATATCTGTACTGTACTAACTGCTTTATTATTAAAGCGGACAAGGTTTTCGGATCCTGGATGGTCCCTCCCACGTTTAAAACTATAGCATGTGCAGACTTTATCAACTGCACTGCACCAGTCATAGGTCAGATTTTCCTAGTATAGTCGACTTTTTGTATGTGACAGGACGGCAAACGAGCCAATCGGCTACCTGATGGTAAGCAATCTGCGCCACCCATTACACCCACAAAAACGCAGGAGTTACGGGTACGTTGCCGACCTTTTGGGGATTATTACAAGTGTGTCACGTAATAAAACCTACTGAATGGTGTAACATAAATTAATTCTAAAATTGATGAAATTGATTGAAAAAGAGTAACCTAGAAGTAAAGTCTCCATTGGCATCTACACTTCCGTCGGTCCGTCCGTCCATCCGTCTTCAGCCGACCGTCAGGCTGACACATAAATTTAAACTATTGATATATTTTTGTGTGTGACGTTCAAAATTGCCTTTAGTGGTCTATTTGAAATAAATAATTAGATTTTTTTGGTTTTTTACTGGCTATTGTAGATCTTCGCTTACAGGAGTTGAAGAAGTAAAGTGAAAGAAACTTTTTGCAATTTGGCTAGGGTTGCTACTGGTAGGAAAGACAGTAGTCAATTATTTTTACAAGGGAAATCTAAAACATCAGTTGAAATGTACGATCGCAGTACTTAATATCCCATAATAGAGAATGTTTTCAAATGGAAATTGTCCCTTGAGAACGAGTAATAACATTCATGAACATCACATTATTGAAATGAGAACTGAAATTGAAAATTATAATGAAAGTTTACTTTTTATGACATAGGTACCGTAACCGCTTTAGTTAACTTATTTTTTTTTTTTGTGTGACGAATGTCTGTAATAAAAAAATTATTATTAAAAAAACAAAATACCCGACTGCACACTAAAAAAAGAGTAAAACAAGCCCCACAATACAAATTTACTGAATATAATTTATAAATGTTGATGGAAAGCATCGCAGGCGGGGACCAACAGAGGCTTATTTATAGTCATTTCTGTTGTGCACCATTTAGCAGAATTTTCGTTGGTGGCGGTCAAGGTGGTCCCCGCCTGCGATGCTTTCCATCAACATTTATAAATTATATTCAGTAAATTTGTATTGTGGGGCTTGTTTTACTCTTTTTTTAGTGTGCAGTCGGGTATTTTGTTTTTTTAATAATAATTTTTTTATTTATAACTTTTTAGCTGTTTTTATTTAACGAAAATGTTGTACGCATTCGGGCTGTATACTCGAGCATATCCCCCTCCGCACCGCGCCGCGCGCCGCATGCCAGGCCACGCCCTATCTTTTTGCTTGCTAACGCATGAGTTGCTTTGCGTTGACGCAGAATTAACATGTTCCCGTGGGAATTTTGAGAAAAAACGTATCCTATATTAATTACTCCCGTGATTGAAATGAATCTAATGATACCGCATACATATTTTTTTAAAGGGAAATTTAGAAAAAATATTATTATGTCTTTATCCCGTGGGACTTTTAGGATAAAATGTATCCTATGACACTCCCGTAATCAAGACAAATCTAACGATACCTCATACATCAAAATCCATCAAGCCGTTTAGGCTACAGGAGGTCACAAAGGAAAAGACATACATACATACTTACATACACTCGAAAAACATTACCCTCCTTCTTTGGCAGTCGGGTAAAAATATTTTTATTGATAAAGTAAAATGTTGTTTGTGAGAAATGAGAAACGAAAGGGAGTGGCGAAAAACTCATTATCATAGGCTTAAAGCTGTGCTAAATGCAAATTTCTCATTTTACTTCTCTTGTAAACCCGAGATAGCTCCTAAAGAGGCTAAATGAAGAACAAATCGCTGTCTAGAATATCATGTCACTATATGGCGAATCTATGGCCCTATGGCTAAGCCTTTTTTTGCAGAGGATAAACTTCAAATGACTTCTCTCGCCCGTATGTGGCATGATGAAGTGTCGGACTCCAACTGACTAAAAACCCACAGCCCCATGGCTAATCTCTAACATTTACAAGATAAACTAACATTTAAGATATTTACACAACTAGGCTTGATGCTGACTAATCTATAGATATCGAGAACTGGGGTTTAAGATATCCAAAACCCTAATCCCTAAAACGTCGGCAACGCACTCGTAACTCCTCCGTTGCGAGTGTCCATGGGCGGTGCTGATTGCTTACCATCAGGAAATCCGTCTACTCGTTTACCGATTACATAAAAAAAAGAGCAGCCCAGCCTATGCAGAAGCCTAAGGACTTAAAATAGCAACAAACAAATTACAAAATCATACACGGAGTACAAAAATTTATCGCGGAAACTTTAAAAAGTCTGTTGTAATAATACATTATCAAAATGGATAACCCGCTCCCTCGAAAAATAATACCATAAAATTGTTCGCAGAAGCTTGTTGAGTCACCAAAACAATTAGCTAATGTTCTCGTGTTTGCGACTGAATCGTGTGTCGGTGTGTCCATTAATTAACGTAGGCAGTCGCTGCCAAAACGGTCAAGAACAATGTAACTTTAATAGGAATGCACCGATGTAATCGTACCAGGCCTTTAGTTTCAGCAGAAAGATACATTTACCACAATTACGGCTACTTACGAGCCTACACAAAATTGACTAAAATTTGTTTACACCTACAGTTCACGTGAACTGAAATCTTATCTTTAACATGTTTCTAGGTATATTTATATCAATAACATTTTCGTAAAATTTTCGTTTCACAATGATTTGAGAAGTAGATAGATTAATTATTGTGTTTTCGGCTTACTCACGTAATAATTTGACGAGATACTCGACTAGTTTCAAGCCATGCTAGAGGCCCATATTCATGAGCAGCATTCCGCGACACGCGACGCGACAAACAGACGAGTATCGTCAAACTATTACGTGAGTAAGCCGAAAACATAATAATTAATTAAGAATGTCTCACGAAAGTTATAATAAAAAAAAAGTAGATAATCTTTATTTTTTTTTAACGGGCAAGCTTTTTGCTATCACGTCTGGTCGTAAGCGATGATGCGACTTGAGATGGATCACGCCTACCCATATGCAACCTATTCACTCGAGCCTTGAAGACACTCAATTTATACCTTTCGGGGAACACAGACTCTGACAAGAATTCCACTCCTTAGCGGTTTTATATTGCCATTAGCTAGCGTCTGCAACATTAATTACGACATTGTTTCTATTATGAGTCCATGTGTTATTTGTTGATTGTCATTGTTGATCATATGAGTTGGTTGGTCAGAGGTGAAATAGTCTATCAGCTTCATTTAACTATGTACTAGGCAATGACTCAAGGCTAAAATAGCTCTACATTATGAGAACTAAAAAAACATAAAAGATTATTGAATTATTTGAATGATTCTTCGTTCATACCACTGTGGGCCGGGAGCATGGTGTTCCAGAGGTATAGGCGCCTGTTTTTCATCCGTGAGAGACTTTATATCCGAGTTGTCTAAGATTATTTAGTCACCACTGACTGACGGTGGCGGAAAACTCACAATTTTAAATTTTTGTTTGAAAATAAACCCCTGAACAAGCGTGGTTATTAATTCACAAACCTTCTTGAGAAAAGAGGCCTTTGCTAGGTAGAGGGCAAGTACAGGCTGATGATGATGATGAATGAACTTTTATTCTCTTATTCTCTTTAGAAGCAGAGTAGAGAGACACAGTATACAAGGCTAAGGTGTATTAAGTACAATTTAAAGGTTATCTATACTAATATTACATAGAGTAAGTTTATATGTAGGGCGTAATCTTTGGAACCGCTAGTCGGATTTCCAGAATTCGTTCACTGATAGATAGCTACAATGTTCCTAAGTGCTATAGGCTATAAAACATCACACTACGTCTAAATGGAGCTGAGCAGCGGGTGAAATCGCGCGAGAGTAGCTAGTGTATAAATATATTCGTCATTACAGTCAACTATTCTAGTCTAAACAAAGACACGCAAAATATAGGAAGATAGTAATTTTATCTAATCATTCAATTATAGGTAACAGCAAGTTTAGTAAGTCAAGGTAGAACGAATCGAGGACGAA